AGGGCACAGTATTCTCAGGGGGAACCCCAGTGGTATGGGAACCCCGGCGCCAGTGAAGGCATAGCGCCAGTGACGGCGCAGCTTGTGGGGCGTAGACCCCAGCCCCGGAGAGGGGCAGCTTTGAGAAGCCCCAGCGTGGGCACGACGAGCCCCAGAGAGGGGGCAGTGTTATTAGGAAGCCCAGGACGGGCACAGCAAGCCCTAGAGAGGGGGCAATATTATTAGGAAGCCGCCCTGGGAGAAGGGGGTAGCAGCGCGGTGGGCCCAAGAATCAGGTGGCGTTGCCGAGAAGTCCCCAGAGTAGGTGCAGAGAGCCCCAGACAGGGGGCTGTATTTTAGAAGCCCGAGTTCGGGTGACATTGCAGGGGGAGCCCCAGGAGGGGGCACTAGTGTAAAGGCCCCAGACAGGGGGCGACACTATAGAGAGGGCCCCAGAAAGGGGCAACATTACAGGGAGGCCCCGAGTGGGCTCGGAGAGCCCAAGAGTACGTAGAGGAGGCCCGAGAGACAGGCAGTATATATCTATATCGAGAGAGAGAGAGAGAGAGAGAGAGAGACATACCAGCGTCTATCCCATCAGCGAGGCTTGGGGTGTGGTATTAGGGGTTGGTAGGAGCCACGCGTAGCCCATAAGGCTAGGGTGCCTGGGGAGCACCCATCACACCGGGAAACCCCCAGGGGGTCCGGGAACACACGGGGACAGAGGTCCCAGCTAACCGTGCCCAGGGAGTCGTAAGGCAGCCTCCCAACTTTATCTAACCATCAAAGACGTGGTGGGCGAGAATTTTGAGGGTGCCCTTGGGGCGACTTGGCACGGAGAGGGGGCCGTAGGGAGATCACGGCCCTCCTGAAGGACTCCGCCGTGACAGTAAGTATAGCACTGCCAAGCCTATAAGTGTGCTGCAGATTATTTCTCCCCAGATGGAGCACTTTATATTTCTCCATGCTAAACATCATCAGGTTATGATCTGCCCACCTCAGAAACCTGTCCAGGTCAGCCTCTTTCACTAGCCTGTCCCTGAGCGCGACTGCACTCCCTAATAATTTGTCATCCGCAAACTTTGCCAGTATGCTTTTAATACTGAATCCAAATAATTGATGAACGTGTGGAAAAGCTCTGGTCCAAGTACTGAATCCTGAGGGATGCCACTGGTCACCTTCCGCCATCTTGTCTCAGTCTCCTATGATGTCTTCCTGGTAAAATTGGGAAAATGCAGCCTTGACTACTTTACAGTCCGGTGGCTAGGTAACTGGCTCTGGGGTAGGACTCGGAGAGTATTAATAGATGGAACTAAATCAAAGGCCTTTTTTGAAGTCCAAGTATATGACATCAACCTCATTTCCCTTATCCAGGTGGCAAGTTACCTGATTGTAGAAGGAAATGAGGTTGGTCAGGCGTGACCTGCCCACAATGAAGCCATGTTGACTGCCTTTTAAAATACTGCCTTCTGTTAGCCTATCAATAATGGATTCTTTGGTAATTTTTTCCAGGATTTTACCAGGGATTGAGGTCAAACTGATTGGCTTGGGTCCTCCTTTCTTCCTTTCTTGAAGATAGGCACCACATTGGCCATCTTCCAGTCTTCTGGCACCTCTCCCAAGCATCATGATGCCTCAAATAGCTTTACTATAGGTCATGCAATGATGTTGGTCAGTTCTTTTAGCACTCTTGGGTGTTCATCTGGTCCTGCTGCCTTGTAGATATTCAGGCTCTCTAGATGTTCCCCCACAAGATCTTCACCAATTATGGAAGGGTGATCACCCCCACCTTGATCATCTTGTATCCTGTCAAGCAGGCTAACACACTTGGACTGGTGGAATACGTAAGAGTCAGTATTTGACTGTTACATATCCTACGCATTTTTTGAAGGTACTCTAACATTCCTGAAATCACATGCCTTAGGTTAATTTTCAGTAACTTTTAAAAAGGAAAAAGTATTATAAATTAAATTACTATCAACTCAGCACTGATGATTTAACCTGTCAGCTGCAGGAAACCTCCATGAAGGGATCTGTCATTGTTCACTCACTGAAACACTGTAGCCTGTGAATGCTGGAGAATGGACATTTCCATGAACAGGTGAAGTAATGGTATGAACATGCCCTCCTTATAGCAGCACATGTTTATGGTACTCACACTTACTCTGTACCCTCCTCTTCCATCCATGATAGTATGAAATTTACCCCCCAGCCTTCAAGTATGCCAATCTGAGACACACTATTAGCATGAGGGCCATCATTGCAGCTAACACCAAGGAGTGGACTGATGACTTGTAACTTGTATTAAAAAGCAAGGCTCTCAGGCTAAGCGCAGACATGAACTCTCTGTGGCTTCAGCCTGGAGAAGGGATACACAGAACACACAGGCCCCATCGACATTGCCTGAGGACCACATCAGTGTCTGGCAGAATGAAGTGTAGCACATCAAACCTGGCATAGAGGTCTTTTCATCTAGTGAACCACTTTCATCCATAGCAACTCCCTTACATGGATCAGCAGCAGGATGTGTACTTTTTGTCTTTCAGATCCCTTGTTTAAGGCTTTTTTACCTTGTATCACAGGAGTAATTCCTAGAGCCTTTTGCCTGTATTGGTATAATTAAATTTGTAGTGTTTATACTATGTGCTGAATATCTCCAAACTACATTTCAACAGCTGCATTAATATCTTCTTACCTAAGGAATCCAGAACCTTTACAGATAAGAATAAAAGATAAGATAAAGAAATCAAGAAAAATAAAGGATCTGTATGATCCCAGATCTCTGATCTCTACCTCCCCAACTTAAGTGGTCTTTTGCAACATGTTGTTACTTGAAAGCCACATTCTGTTCTTTTATCCATACTGACCAAAGCCAGACAACTCTAGGAACACACACTGCCCAAAGTTCTCGTCTTTGCTTTCTTGGTGTCCCACTACACTGCAAGAATATGTATGTGCAAACTTCATGGAGTCTGGACCAGATACTTCCATCCAAAGCAGCATTTAGCTTCTACTGAGTGAGGAAGACAGAGCACAAAACGGACAAAACCCCTCAAACCAGTAATTTCACCTTTACCTGCTCTAAAAAACAAGACAAACTAGAGATCAGGAAGCAAAAAAGAAGAATGAAGAGATACTGGAAGAGATATCAAAAGGCTGTTGAAAAACCAGGTGAAGACAGATATGCAGAAGCCACAGAGAACATGAAAATTACTGGTTTCATAAGGTAGTTTAAAAGTGTGCAACTATCATTACAAATAGTTGTATTTGCTTTTAATTTGGAGTACATAAAGTACCTAACATACTGGAGGCAATTTCTAAAAATGAAGATAATTTTATTTAACAATCAGTGCATGTATATTTCAATATACCATTTATATCATCACATATGAATTGAATCCTTGCTAAAGAAAAAGCAGACATGGTAGGCTTAAGATTAGTGTGTTAGGAATAACAGAAATCCAGACATCTAACACTGACATAAATTTAGAAATTAATCAGAAAGATGATTATAAGTTCTTACAACACACTGTAAGACTGTAAAAGTTTTATCAACTAGTACATGCCACTGTTTTGTAAGATTTAATGAAGATTTTCCTGGATGTTTTGGTTCCACAAGTGCCATTATGGTCATTCATGTAAATATAGGTTAAGGTTAAAAACATATTTTATAGACAGTCATGGATAACAGTATTAAGTCTGTAAGATGTAAATACACATTTAGGGATTTTTTTAAATAGGGGTATAGTGATTTGACACACTTTAGAATGTGTCTCGGTAAAGCTGTGGAAATCCTTTTTGCTATGAATTATAGCTCCATTAGCAGGAAAAGCTCGTATTGTTCTATCTTGCCAATACAGCTTCCTTGTACAGTCTGAGTGCTGGAAATGTTTACGACATTATAAAAATTCACTCAAAAGTTGAATCTAGCATTCCAAGTTTTTGATGTGCAAGTAGTATAGCTGATTTATAACACATAAAAGTCAGCACACACATATCAAAAGGTAGGATTCAATTTTTACCTCTGTCTGCCAAATAGCTGCAGCTTTTCAGGTAAAAAGGAATGCAGTATAGTTACTTACTAAGCAAAATAATTTATGCAATTTATTTTTTATATCCAACCATATGCAAGAGAAACTTACATACTGAAAAGCAAAGTCCTTTTGAAGCTTTTAAGCATGAAAAACCTGATTCTCCAAAGGTATTGAGTACTCATAACTCCTGTTAAAGTCAACTGGATTTGGGGGGTTAGCATCTTTGGAAAACCAGAACAACATATGTTGAATTATAACTGTGATTAGCTGGCTGCATATAAATCTAAAGCCCTACAATAGTCTAAAAATTCAGTAAATAATTCCATTTATTCTACCTTATTAAAGCTTCAGTTGAATATTTAACTTGTCTCTCTCTTACATGGGGAGGCTCTGAAGCTGTCTACACAACCAACAAACATTATATGCACACCAGAGGCAACACAACCTACTGTTTTTGTAGGCAGAACATTTCTCCAAACAAAAATGGCCTATTTTAAATAGCTTCTGTGAGTACAAAGGATGCCGTAGTGCTAACTCATTTTGCCTCCAGCCTAGGCAATTTGCTGCTATTGGAAACACTGTTTGTTTCACCAGCTATATGCCATGCCCTTTCTGTTACCTGAATACCAAACGTTGTTTTGAAAGGGAACAGAAAACTTATGAAAACCACAGATTACAAATACTTTCAATAGTTTCCATTTTATAAATGCTGCAAATGGCAAGTATTAAAACTGAACACCAAAGGAAAAAGTCTCTAATATTTTCACTTTCTAACTTAAAACTATTTTTCTCTCTAATAAATCCACATGCATTTTTTCCTGTAACCACAGGCGCTGTTCAACATTGAACATGAACAGGCAAGAATCTTTCCAACAAAACTTTTCCAAGTAGTATTTATTTCTCTTTGACTTTAAGATGACGCTTCCTATCATTAATCATATAATTTACAAAAGAGGATAATTTGCAGTTATAAAGTGAATGATATACCTTATTGTAATGGATAAGAAGACCATAAACCAAAATATTTTTCTTTTTCACTTCTCTTGCAAATTCCTTAATCCTGTTTAGGTCTTCCATCTCACTGCTGAAAGATGCGTTTTCTGAAACATTCAAGTGTACCTACATAGGGACACACACAAAATGCATTTTATTACCAAATATATTCTTATAGATCTTCACTTAAAAAAAAACTGTTACTTATACAAAAGACTGGATTGCAAAGAATTTTTATTGACTTGTATTAAATTCCATGCTCCATAATTTAAATATTTGTGTCATAAAAGTTGGTGTTTTTTTCAAAATCCATAAACCAATATGCTGGAAATAAACACAGCACAATATTACATTTTTAAGTATTTATTAATTTAAAAAAGAACAAACAACAAAATCTTCTCCACTTTCTGTCCATCTTTCATGGAACTGTTTAGTATCAAGGGATTCATAATTGAATCCTCATCTGAGGGAAGAGTACAGATGTTTTCCTTTAACATCTTTTAGCTTTTTAACATGGAATCATTCTCCCTAAATATAGCTTCTGTATTGTTCCCCGTCTGGGACTTTGCATTAGTAACATGTATTATGTACTTGTTGCTTTCAGCATTTTAAAGGAGAGTAACAGAACCCCCAACATAGCTAGGCTGAGTATGATTGAGGAGGGGTTTAAACCCCGACCCTGGCCTGCAGGAACCCCAGCCAGGGTCTGCTAGGAGGGGAAGGGGGGAAAGCAGTAGGCCTGTGTGAAGCAGCAAGTATACAATTCAGATTCGGCCAATTCAGAGGGACAATGATTTGATTCAGTGATTCGAATCACTGTCCCAATTTGATTCGGCCAATTTGGATTCGAGAGATTTGGTTGCCAAATCAAACCAAATCTCCTCTGAATCGAACAGGTGGCAGCAGCTGTGTCAGCAGCTGGGGCCTGGTGGTGGCAATCAGGGCTCTACCCTGCCCCCTGCTCCCACAGCCCCTTGCCATAGCTGCCCTGCCCAGCCCCAGCATCTCAGCACTTAAAGAAAACCAAAACCCAAAAAACCTTGCAATCACTGGCTGCAGCAGCAGTGATCGAGGCCTCTGGGGGCCTATGGCAGAGCCCCCCTGTGCAGCACAGCGCAGCGCAGGCCTGTGGGGATTGGCCCCCACCCCTAACCTGGCACCTGCGCGACAGCTGTCTGGGAGCTGGGGCCACTCACGCTGAGTGCTGCTGGGCTCCACGTGACTGCTGGACCTGCCCCAGCTCTGGGACAGTGTGTGGCGCCCTGTTGAGCTGCACTGCACCTGCGTGATGCGACAGCTGTCATATGGATGCCAGGTGGAGGGGGTGGCTGCGCAGGGGGGCCTCTGCCTGAAGCCCCCAGAGGTCCCAATTGCTGCTACTGGAGCTGGTGAGTGCAGGGATTTTTTTCTAATTTTTTTTTTCAAAGTCCTGGGACGCTGGGGCCGGGTGGGGCAGCCATGGGGTGGGGTGCTATGGGAGCGGAGTGGGGGGGCCGAGGGGGCACTCAAGGAGGCTAGGAGAGCTGGTGGAGCGGGGGCCACCCAAATCGATTAAGAGGCTTCCAAAATGATCTGGAGGCTTCTGATTCGATTCAGACCTTTTAATGGGTCTCCCAATTTGATTCAGATTCGGAGCTTCAGCCCCCGAATTGGGTCGAATCTCCTCCAAATCAAATCAGTTACTGAAGCTTCACACAGCCCCAGAAAGCAGCCCTTGCCTGGATTTTGGGGAGGGGGTCAAGTGGAGCATGGCCAGACCTCAGCCCCCAGCTGGCACTGAAGGGTCGAGCAGCAATAGCTGGGGCATGGCCAGACCCCAGCCCCGAGCCTCAGATGAAGCGGGGGAAGGAGTGGGGAAACACAGAGAAGGGGGGCTGGTAGAGACCTCCAGAGGTCCTCTAGTGTGTGGTCCAGCCCCTGCCTGAGCCCTGGCCAGAAACTCTAAATAGAGAAGGGTTTGCTTACCATGGGGCCTGTGTACTGCCGGGGACAAAGGCCACCAAGAGCTTCCTGTGGCTGTTTGTTGCTCCCTGCCCCAAAGCATGGCCCAGTGCTACTCCCCTCCAGTCCTGAGCCCAGAGGCAGCACTGTACAGCCCTTGCCCAGTCCCAGTGTGGTGGAGGCACAGAAGGGAGAGAGGCCTGCCCACTGCAGTGGCTCTGTAACAGCCCAGCCAAGCCTGGGCATGGGGAGCCCGGAGCAAACCAGGAACACAGCTCCCACAGCCCCAGCCCAAGCTGCAGCTGGCTGAGAAGGGCTCTGCCCCTGCAGCCCAGCCTGGCCCCGCCATGTGCCCAGGGTTGGGGCTGGGGTTTGGGCTGGAGGCTGGACTGGTCCAGGACAATTAATAGATTCTATGAATCTATGAATTTCATAGCTCCTGCTTCCCACACTCAGGCCGGGCCAGGCTGTCAAAGAGTCACTGCCCTTGGTGGCTTTTTTCCCCAGCATTACAGAGCTCTCCTGGTAAGCAAACCCTCTGCCATTTAGATTCTACTGCTTATACTGGAGGGGGTCTGTCCAGGGCTCAGGTCTCGCTGCACTAGACACTAGAGGACCTCCCCTGCCAATCCCACTTCTCTGATTCCCCTCTCCATCCCCAGCTTCACACCAGGCCCAGGTCAGGGGTCTGGCCATGTCCTTGCTCTCACTGCTTGAGCACCGAGCCAGAGAGGAAAACCAGGCAGACGTCAGCTGGGGTCCCCCATGGGAGGGAGGGGGCATTAACCCCCCCTTTCCCCTCAGGGTACCAGTCTCTGGCCACACCCCCCGCTCCTGCCACTGGAGCAGTGATGGGGGCACTCTGAAGCACGATTTCCCACCCCAACCCTTTCTCAGCCAGCCAGAGCAGTGATAGTGCTCCAGCTAAGCAACAGAGGGGTGCAACCAACCCTGCTCTGCTGGAGAAGACAGCACAGCTCAGCCCATCCTGGGATTCTGGGGTCCAGTGAGTTAACTTAAATCAGGAAAGGGTCTGGGACAGAAGTTCTGTAAAATGGTTTGACCTAAATCAGTTAAGTCTGATGCTACATTCAACCAGGTTTATCTTAAACCAGTTTCAGCCATTTTGAAACTGATTTATGTGCACTGAATTTCTGTTCTCTTACAGGTTTAAACCAGTTTCTGATCACTTAAACTGGTTTCTGTGCAACTTCTGCCCCTAGCCTTGGAGAACAGGCACTTCTATGCGGAGCTAAATGGCCAGAAAAATAAATGGCACCCTGAAATGAAGAGCTTACCACAAGGCAGTACGTTCCCCCCACTGATTAACAATCAGCCACTTCCTACCAAATGTCAGTGTTTCATCTGTGCTGATGATCTCTGCATTACCACCCAGCAGAATAATTTTGAGGACACAAAGTAGCTAGAGAGAGCACTGAATCAGATGTTAGATTATTACCTAAACAATTATCTCAAACCCAACCCTAGCAAAACTCAAGTCTGTGCATTTCAACTGAGAAACCAGGATGCAGAATGACACCTAAATCTCACCTGGGGTGACCAGAGTCTCGAACATCAGATATACGTGGTTTACTTAGGTAACACTGGACCATACACTTACTTATAAAAAGCACACATTAAATACCAAAGCCAAGGTCAACAAAACAACGTTCTGCATAAGCTCACAAATTCCAAGTGGGAAGCATATCCATCCACCCTATGCACTACTGCCTTAGCACTTTGTTTCTCTGTGGCTGAATATGCCTGCACCACCTGGGGATGCTCAAGTCACAGTAAACATATTGACACCACCCTAAACGACACATGCAGAATTATAACAAACTGCCTAAAACCCACCCCTGTTCCCTCCCTATATGTGCTATCTGGTGTAGTGCCACCTTCCCTCCCCCCCCCCCCCCCCCTTACATTGGGAAGAAAGTACCAGGCAACACTGACTAGCAGGTACAAGAGTCAGACAATCACCATCCACTATATTGACATCAACCAGCGCACCATTGTCTTTCATCAAGAAATTGCTTTTTGTCCTCCACCATACTGCTGAATCAACCATAGATCATCAGAATCAACCATAACTACCTTCTGGCAAAAAGAATGGAGAAACTAGGTGACAAAGCTGTTGAATGGTGCAAGTGAGAAATTACCTCCAATAAGGAGTTAGCATCCAGCAACAGTTACAAATGGCACACATGGCAGAGTCTAAACATTGAGAGTGGGTCTCAGCTGATGCAACTTCCTCATGAAGTCATGGGGCCTCTACACAACCAGTCAATGTGTTTGTCAGGAGAAGCAAACCAAAAATCATCTCCTGAGATGCCTGTACCGCAATGCACCCCACAAGATTTGGCAACACCAACACCAGAAGCAGTGGCCTGTGCAGAATATTTGTACCAAACTATATAGAAAGGGTGGACTGGAGACATGATGAAAGGGAAGAATTATAAACACTGCCTCACTTCCTAATGGAGGCAAAAGTAGTATTACCATGTATTAATGACATATATGCCTTTATTCTGCTTCTCTTCAAGATTTACAGAACTCTCATTACTGTTTAAAGATATGAGATGTGTCGATACAAATTATTTGATGCTTTCTGGGCATAGATTATTACTAATTATATTTACTATCACAGTACCTAAGAGTTAAGTCTCACTGTACAAATATAACCCCTGCCCTAAAGAGTTGACAATCTAAACGGACAAGACAGAAAAGAGTTGAGTAAAGGCATACGATGTGAATAATAGACTGAATAATGTGATGACAGCACAAGGGGGGCAGGAGGTTTGTGGGGGCTGGGGTTTTTCTGAGTGGTGAAATTGGGATATGCTTAGGAGGCAGTCACCTAAATGGAAGAAAAGGGGGATGAAGTGACAGAGCAGGACAGAACTGTTTGGCAGAGTAAACTTGAGGGGAACAGCATGAAGCATTAAAAGAGAAGGTCTAGAGAAATCAACCAATGAGTACAGGGAAAGTCTAGTCAACATTGTAAAAAAAGTTCTGAAAGTCCAAATGTCCCTGGTTTGGCTTCTCCTGTAATTGCTGCTAAGGGTTTAATTTTTAATTGGCTTCTCTCTGCAGGTTTTTCTCAAAGTCACAGAGAAGGAAGTGAAGGTAGGGGTGAGTAAAAAGGGGGTGTTTAGTTTACGGCCAAGACAAACAAGGTACTC